ATATTTGTTTAAATATTTTGACTTATACAATAAATCACCAATTTTTATTTACGTAAATAAACAGCCTAACCAATAAATTGTAAATCTGTCTCCAAATTTGCAGATTTAGGCAAATAACTAGACCGATTTTGTACTGGGATTGTACAATCCAAGATGGCGGTATACCATGAATCTACCTTAAAAGAAGTCGGAGTCCGATGTTAGAATAGGTAACAGAAGAAACTAAGCAAAATTACAATGATACATAAATTAACAAAGGACTACTAGCAGTTACTGACATGCCAGCTCCAGGTCTCAATTAAACTGATTGAAAGATTATGTCTTCATCATATTGAATATATAAAAGAACAGTAGTCTCTTTCTTCATGATTGAGTACAAGTATTAGCTAGTAATTATCATTAGGAAAGGCGTCATTATTCTTTACAAACTTGGAAACTTGCCAACATTTTGGAACAAAAGTTAACACAAGTAAAATTACGATACACACAGGTACAAAGGACACATATCAAAAGCTTTCGCTTTTATATATGTATAAACCTTGTATACTGTAAATTGGTAGCCGCGAGGCTTAGATATATTGTAGAGTTTACGTTTAGTTTAGAGATAATTTCCTAATGCTTGTTGACTGAGACTTTGGTTGGCTTCCTTCTTTGTTTCTATAAACATTTGCCCAAGCATTGTAATGAGGATTGACATCCGCAACCATTATAACTAGGCGGAGTTAAACCTGTATACATTATACTTTAATTTGATTGGATGTTATCCTTGAGGTTTGGAATCTGTATACAATGAATACAGGTTTAACTCCACCTATTTATATTGTTTGCAGATGTCAATCTTAATAACAATGCCTGAGCAAACATTCATACAAACAAAGCAAGCAAGCAAGCATGACAACCAAAGGTTTACTCTACAAGCATAAGGAAATTAGCTCTAATGTTTGATAGCTTTATGTTCGATTCACTGTGTTTCTCATTTGTTCTTTTTCTTCCGTCTTTTTTTGTTTTCTTAATTTGTTTGTTATTGTTGACGTTTTCCGATGAACACGGATTTTTAAGGGTGGGTTTATTGGCTTATAATTGGTTATTTTACGTACGAAAAAATAATAACATCCCAATTTGACCTTTCTTTTCAAATTTATTCAGGCTCACTTTGTCATTTTTAACATATTTCTTTATCAATATTATGAGTGTAATTCATGTTGTGGATTATTGTATGTCTCGTAACTTCAACATCATATTTATACTTTTTTTTAAATTCAAATATACCTTACTAATTAGATACAAGAAGATGTGGTATGAGTGCCATTGAGACAACTCTCCATCCAAGTCACTATTTGTAAAAGTAAACCATTATAGGTCAAAGAACGGCCTTCAACACGGAGCCTTGGCTCACACCGAACAGCAAAGTACATAAATGTATTTACACATTACGAAAAACTGTACGTTTCATAATCATAACTTTGAAATATTAGTACAATATAGTGCGTACGATTTTGTTTTAATATTCTGTCATAATCTAAATGCACTTGGTTTTGACTTCTAATAAATGGGTGGTTTTAGTGCATCATTCAAGATGACATCGTGTTTATTTGAGCTCGTTGGTATTAGTGTGCAATTAACAAAAGAAATTAAGTTTGAAAAGACGTCACATTAATAGTTTAAATAAAAGACACCGGGCTCCTGTTATCTTTTATACGAACCAACGCTTATCCATTGTATCCCCTTTATGGAATTTCTGTTACAATATCAAATCGATGCCATTATCATCCGATTGTATGGTTATAGTTTTTATTCCTTTGACATAACTTTCATCGTTTCAATTCAGTGAATTAACAAAAATAAAATGCATTATCATTAATGTTACTGATATAATCTGTTACAAATTATCGCTATGGTAGCACAAATACATACGTAAACTGACAAATGTCAGATGGGAGTAGTATTACCACTTATTGATATTGTAGTTTAAAAAAGACTTGTCGTGCTCGTTTTATTTTTATAACAAGCTTCATTACATTGAAAGGATGAAGGAGGAGTTCATTGTAAGAATTGAATTACTATTTGTTGTTTTATTGGACAGGTGTTGTTCCATGAAAGCCCATCAGTGAATTTCACGAAACATGTTGTATGAATCGCAATAGCGTTAATATTTTATTGTACGTTTACTAAAGGTTTTGTATAAACCATATAAACTTTTTAAAAAATCAGAATGAAAGAAAGAAAAAATTAAGTTAAATGTCCATTTCATTCACGTTGTTTTGAAACGTGAATGCGGCACTGCTGTTATAGTAACAGTATAGATTTATTTAAATATGTGGCATTTTCAATTTTCAGTGTCATTGTGTATTGTTTGTTATATGATATCATTTCCGAAGGAGAAATTTACTTTTCAAAATTCAATAATAGAAATATAAAGTGAAGCAATTTAAATAAGTAGTTAAAAGTTATAGAAATAATACGAACTGCTGTGGATGAAATGATAATTTATAGGAAAATTTATTACAATGTAAAAATTATTTGCTCATTGTTTTTGAATGACCTTTCCTTACATATATGAAATTTGGACTCTGTTGGGTGGTTGTCGCAGTTTATTTCAGGGTACTATGTGCATGTAAAATTAGATCGATTGACTGTCGCTTGCTCAACGTCATGTAGTAATTATTTCATGCTGCTCAGGACGAGAAACCATAAACGATTTCTATTTCAAAATGTAGGTCCTGAAAAAATATCAAGATAAGTTAGAAATAGGTCTCTTCAATTGATGTTTTGAAATATAAAATTGCCAGTTTTTAAAATAACTCATATGAAAATGTATATTGTGAATAAGAAAATACACAATGGTATTTCTAATTTCACACTCAGTTGAAGGACCAATTGTATTTATTTATTTCATGTCAGCACTGTCAAAAGAAAGTTATGGCATGTTGTTTGTATTTCTGGTCTGGAAGTCTGCCAATAGGTCCGTACCTCTTTTTTCTGATGTAAACTCTGCTTAAATTATTGTGCGCATGCATTTAAATCATTGGTAAAACATTTGCAGACTATTTTCTAATGTTATTTTTTTTAAAGATATGCCCCATACTTCGGACTGAAATAAGGAAAAAAGCTGCTTGTAACACGTCACATCTTAAGTTAAAACAAGAATGTGTCCATAGTACACGGATGCCACACTCGCACTATTATTTTCTATGTTCAGTGGACCGTGAAATTGGGGTAAAAACTCTAATTTGGTATTAAAATTAGAAAGATATCATAGGAAACATGTGCACCTAGTTTCAAGTTGATTGGACTTCAACTTCATCAAAAACTACCTTGATCAAAAACTTTAACCTGCCCACTCGCACTATCATTTTCTATGTTCAGTGGACCGTTAAATTGGGGTAAAAACTCTAATTTGGCATTAAAATTGGAAAGGCCATATTATAGGAAACATGTGTACTAAGTTTCAAGTTGATTGGACTTCAACTTCATCAAAACCTTACTTGACCAAAAACTTTAACCTGAAGCAGGACAGACGGACGAACGGACGAACGGACGGACGAACGGACGGACGCACAGACCGAAAAACACAATGCCCCTCTACTATCGTATGTGGGGCATAAAAATGGTAGGTAAAGGGAAACTCGGACTTTATTTAGTTATTTTCGAGTTGACTATAGTGTTGACGCTTGAAACAAAATATCTGTGAGACCAAAGACGTTACACTTTCGGATTTCAAGATTAACAATGAAAGTATGTAGTCCAAATTAGAATGATGTGATTTTAAGCACAGAAAATTGTTAAACAACAATAACGAACAAATTTGGTCGATTTACCGAAAAGTGTACCAGCCAAGTTAAAATATGTTCAGTCAGGATTCTTCTTTGTCAAAATTATCTCCCAAGTATGCCACCTAATTTTTATAATCGTAAAAATGGAAACCATCGTAGTAATGACACGCTGTTAATTTAGCTCTTGGGAACCGATAAATTTATCCTCGTAGCATCATTACGATCCTTATGTGCCGGTTGTATTTTAAAAGACAAACGTATCTACTAGCTATTTAGCATCATTTAATTTAGTTTTATGCATTTGGTCAACTTAAAACTATTGTCTGATCGGTTGTCAGGGGGAATTTTCGAAAGTTAAAAAATATTTAAAAAATTCTAATTAAATATTTCGTGGAAGGGCAGACTAAACATTTTCAGAAGTTTGAGACTAATTACCCTAGATAACACACACAAAAAAATGAAGTTTTTTTTTGAAGTTATGCATTTTTAAGATCCACTTGAAACGTCTGTCGTCAAGTACTGGTCTCGCTGGTGCAGAGATGCAAATTCATGCTTTTAAAAGATCAATTTATTTTCTTTCTTTGGAATATTTTTCGGCGGAATTTATGCTTATGCACAAAAAAGATCCACATGTATTTGCACCTACTACAATCGACTGTTTTGTGAAAATTTGTCTATGCTTTAAAGGTTTACAAATAATTCGAAGCTCCATACCATAATTTAAGTAAAAACACATACATATGATGCATAAAACCCTAAATTAGGCACACTCATTAAACTTTTAAAGCCCATAGAAACAGATGTAAACAATTTAAATGTACCAACTTGGCCTTTTTTTACCTTCTCTAACAAAGAGTTCCATTTCTTTTGTTTAATTTCAACTGGGTTTCCGCCTGTGTTAGGTTAAATGATAATAGATTTCAAATCTGTAAAGTGGTATGAGATGATTCAAAACCGGGTGAAAATAGTTTTTATATTTGGAATAAAGCGTTTCAAATATTTATCAGCTAACGTTATAAATTTTATATAAATTCTGATTAATGGTCCCGACATCAGGATATATGGTATGGTGATATGTTTAAAGAAACCCAGCAAAAGATTCACTAAAATGAATTAAAACATTAAATCTAAAGGATTTATCTGAATCTATTACCACGTGTACCATTTTAATTGGTTAGACCGTTTGTGATTCAAAAATTGACCGCTTAATCAAACACATATACTTACCGTAGACCAGGGAAATAAGAAAGTGATTAAACAGCAAACAGATTGGTCCAATGTCCACCATTTTTTAAATATTATATTTTTGTTACGCACCGTGTAAAGACATTACTGGTAACATCTGTCAATTTCTCTGTGCTAATTATCGTCATTATTAATTGGCTAATTAGATTAGTTACATTTGTACACAATAGTTATCGTTTTAGTCACTGTGTCGGCTCACCATTGTTTCTTTAAAAAGTTACAGATGTTATGTGTATGCTCTGTCTCGAATGTGTTCTGGTTGAGTTCATAATTATCGCAATACTCCAAATTCAATAACAAATAAATATAGATAAAATCGTTGCTCTTATTGTTCGGTTCAGTGAACATGTGAAAATTGCTAGAGGTTCACATCAATATGGATACAAGAAATTATACAGAAACGGTTACAGTGGTGCTCAGTTCAAAACTATAATTGTACTCGTAATTTCGAATATTCTTCACCACTTAAAACTATGTCCTATATTAATCTTCCCAAAGTCAACTCAAATCCATTTAACCACCACCACGATATATTTTACTATACTCTGACCAACAAAAAGCATATAGAATATGTCAGTCTACCATTGTAAATTGTCACACGTTAATTACAATGTGTAACTAGATACATGGAACAAGTTGAATTTCATTATAATTTAAATATTATTCCATAGATGTTGTCAATATAAGCATCTACCTATGATTAGAAATGTCAATTTTTACCTGTCCAGGTAGACTAGGTATTGATCTCTAATTAATGTCTCAGGTAGCCATGATGTTACATCTTCTACTTCAATCAGCAGCAAATATTGGTAATTGATACATTTGTTAATACAAGGGTACTTTAAATTATAATGGCCTGTGATGTGTTTAAGATCTGTGAGGTTAATATTCAGCATTGCCTTGCTGGATTGTTGGCCGTTTGTGTAACACCACCGAACAGAATATCTTGTACATCTGTGAAATACATTGACGTATTAGGAACACATATTAAGACAAGTCTGTTTTAACTTGTTTTACATCAAGGCAATATATTTATTTCTTAATGGTATAAGCCAACAAAAGGTAAAACACACATAAAAATTAAACACATCCCTGAAAAACTTAGCACCCCATTATTCTCAAATCTTTGTTCTTTTCACCCATTATTCTCTCTTCTGTAAACTTCCATCCAGACCCTCATAAATCAAAACACAAAAACCTTAACAGGAAGTGGAAGCAAAAGGCAGAAAAGACAATGATAGCATTACATTGTATATGGAATCTGCGCATCTGTCTGTGGCATACAGTGTTTTATTTGCATTAAAAGTGACAGATAAATGGTAATTAAAAAGTCCCTTCTTTCAGTAGTTACAATCAATTTCAAACAGATATTCATCAACAATAATGAATAATTCATCATGGTTATTATAGGCTTCATATGTAGTCGAGTGTATGATTACTCAAAAATTAAATCAAAGCTTCAAATTCATGATCTCGTCATTATTCATTGAAATTGTGCAGCTATGGTAGAATAAATATTTACACGATTTTAGTGTAATTTAAACCAACGTGGTTCTATGATATATACTACTAAAATAACGAGGTCCAACTTGTTAGCCGGCATGACGTAAAAACAACGAATCAAAGAACTCAACTTTATATATAACTAATATACGACAATGGTGTTGATTAAGAATTACACTAGTCCAGGCCCTTTTGTTTTTCCACATAATTAATATTACCAATAATTAACCAGTTCCGGGTCGAATCCGATACCTATACCAATAGTATATGTCACATAACGTCATTAGAGCTAATTTCCTAATGCTTGTAGTTAAAAGGTATGGTTGGCCTGTCACGGAATAGAAGTTCCTTCATAATATAAGTTCCAAAAGGAAAAAATATTCTGGAATATTATTTCCACAGGAATAAATATTACAGTATATGTTCCTAACGGAATAAATGGTATAGAATATTTGTTCCAACAGGAATAGATATTATGACATTGTTTATAACAAAGTTTCCAGTGGAACTTCTGTTAGGCGGAACAAATATACGTTGACAGGCCTTGATTATGTAAATGTTGTCTAAGCATTGTAATTACGATTGAGCAAACGTTAATACAACAAAGCAAGCAAGCCAACCAAACCTTTAAACTACAAGCGTTAGGAAAATAGCTCTAATGGATGCATTTGAGATAACAAAGAGCATTCACAAAACGATCTTCATTTCACGATTGAATGAGTGGAAACGTTTTCATCTTGCACGAACAATTGACGTTTGGATGACTGGATAATTGATATTTATCATGCCATTGCGTATAAATTTAATACAGTAAAGAAAGTTCGAGCAACAGTCGAGTCACCTTAAATAAGCTTGAATTTCTTATAAGTCGGTGTTACAAATAAACCAATACGCAATTGTCAGTATACAAAGAAATATTAAAAACAGTTTATTGTTACATGTTTAAATGGTTAATACTATACTACGAGGTATAACCGCCGTACAGTTGATTCCGGACGTTAATCGCTACATCGCAAAGCAATGTTGGTAGATATACCGTTCTTATATTTACACCAAAGACTAATTGACTAACTGTTCAGTTAAGTATTCAATGTTTATGAAAACAAAGTTTACTGCTCCTGGCAGCATTGTATATCATTTATATTACATGAGCACCATGTGACTATTTTAAATAGACAGGTCTGTAAATTACTTGTAAACATCGCGAAACAAACACTATGTGTGACTCAAACTTGATTAAACTACAAATAGAGCATAGTTGGTTGGCTCTTTCACTAAATGCGACCGTGTACTTTGTGCTTTGTTGTTGTTAAAATACATAATACGAATGAGAAACCCGTTGTTTTAATTTTATTTGAAGACATTTACTTGAAAAACTGACCTCAGAAATTTGACACTGTACGATTCATTTTCTTTGTAGTTTGTTTTCTTTCTTTAGTACCGTTCGTTGTACATTCTTGTACTGTTCGTTGTGCAAAAGCCTATCAATACGGTAGAAATATGTATGACATGGCGTGACAAATGTTCAAAGCTTTTTTAAGCGAGTTATAAAACTTTTCAAAGGAAATTCGTCGTAGAAAAACGTTATGTTCATGGATGTTCTGCTCCAGTAAATTTTCGGATCCATGACAAGCTAATAGCAAACTCACCAACAATATTTGAATATTCATGATATGAACGTGGTTATACCCGTGTATATTCAAGTAAGCATCTACGACTAGCTTGCATTTCAAATTGTAAATATCATCAATATTAAAGTCATTTAAAAACTATTTTCAGTTGTTGTATGTCGAATAATCATATAAAACGACAATGAAAATTCATCGCACTTCCAAAAAGGAAAGAGTTCCATATGGCACCCCCACGGAATAAACTGTAATACATTATTGTGTTCTTTTAGTATGGTAGGGGTGCCATATGGAACTCTTACCCAGTAATCAATATTATGGATTTTGCTGCTTAATAACACTTTTTTGGACTTTAATCCTGTTGTTTTACATTAAAAAGATACATTCTAACGAAATTCTATTAAAACATACATTCAAATCTATTATTTTGTATTTTCAAAAAGTAAACAAACGTAGTTTTTCCCATCATCCTTTATTCTACAATAGACATACTCGCATACAACAGTGAAAATGAACTAACTGTACATTATCTACATTGCATAATTCCTTCCCCTTTGAGTTACTTCGCATTTGTGCCTGTATTTTTCAAAAGATTGACAAAAGTAAATCTAGATAATAATAATTATCTTAAAAAATATTGCCTGGAAAGTTCTAAATTATTTATAATGTTGGGTATTTTCAAATAATAGTATTTTACAAAAATAAAAAAAGTATGCAAATTACCAACATTTAGATATAGAAACTATAAAAAGCAAAGGACAGAAATTGGCGTTCCATTATTTCAACTTAAATTGTCTTTGTAAAGGGTTATTCGATAAAAGTGTCGATGCATGCTAAATGAAGACTGTTGTATAACTGTTTGATACAGTCAGTTACAGCTGAAACATTTGAGTAAGTACTTTGTGCATTAAAAAAATGTGTTTGTCTGTAAGGTGAAATATATCGGAACCTAAATTTTTTTAATTAGATTATGAAAATATGGAAACAAACTGACTTTACAGGTTTTTCTGTCTCTGTATCGTGTTATTTAGTTAGTGCACACGTCTCTTCTATCTGACACACTTCCCTGTCTAGAAGTCAATAAGCAGATATTTCTTGTGAAAGCGTAGCATACTGTTATGCGGTTCTTGTATGAATGCCGTGGATGTTGCATTTCCAACACGGGCATCAAACTTAACGGACTCATTCCGACCAGATTTGAACACGTATTAACACATCCCACACATCCACGCGGATGCCTCTCCCATAACACGACTCGTTCTGCTTGGCGGGAGAAATCCGTGCGACTACTGTACGGTTGTCTATCCTTCGAACGTGAATATCAATATTGTATAGGTATATATATATAAGATTGTTAATCACTTCATATATATAATATTTTCGACCTTACAAAGTTTATAGTGATTTTTTATATTTAATACTTGGAAGTTAAAAAAAAAGGGTTTAATGATGTTATTCATGTTGTTATTTGGAGAACTGATTATTGGCGGCTGATCTTTGATTGTTTCGTCTCAATTTATTCCAAACGTGTATAGACTTAGGACGCTTTAATAGAGCTTTACTAATGTAAGAACCACATATCGATTGTTAAAAAGTCCCTTTTAACGTCCAGCGGCGGATTTACTGGAGTGGGGGTGGTTTATGTCGCTACATATATGATTTCTGCATAGACTTTACAAGCCCCACTCATGAAAATATTGATATTTCTAGATTAAAACTTGCTGTTACAAACGTTTTGAAATCATTTAAGAATAAGGAATATATCTCTCTAATGCAAAGCTTTGATTCCTTGTCCGGATTAGGCTATATTCTAGGTTAATTTTTGTTTTAATCAGCTCTTCCAACGTTTTTATTAGGTTTTGGATTTTCAAATATTTCGGCCTCCAGCATCACTAAAGAGACATTTATTGTCGTAATGCGCATCTCAGACTGGTACATAAAATTGGTACCGTCAATGTTATTACCTTGTAAGTACCCTCCCCCTTTTTAAAAATCCGGGATCCGCATCTGATATATTTTGGTTAATGACTCATTTGTGTCGTTTGGTTGCTGTCTCATTGAAGTGAAAATCATGATTCCGCCTTTTATTCATGGTTTATATTTAATCCTTAAAAATTCTAGCTAGATTTTAATTTGTAATTACAAAAACTGTGTAAAACAAGCTGTTGTCCGTTTGTTACATGTTATTCAAAGTACAAGATGTTGGACTTAACAACACGTATAATTACTTCACTAATCAACTTTGTATAATTAAACGTGTGAGTAATACCTTGTTTGTGCAGGAATATTAGTAAAAAGTCAGTTTTTAAGTTTGAAGAATTGTTTTAATATTACATCAGTTTAAATAGGGAATAAGAAACCATACAGATTTTAAAAAGCCTACAAAGTATATAAAAAAACTGTTTTGATTAAATTTTATTGTATCGTATGTTAGTTCCCTTCCACATTAAATACCAGGTCTGAACCTGTGTCGCTGCATGCGATTGATTTTATTAACATGTATCCTGAAGCATATCTGATCATTCCCTTTCAATTGAAGCCAAGAAATTTTGACGAAAATTTTCCTTGTTCAATGAGTGTTGTAAACTTTCAAACTAACGGCAAATAGGAAGTGAATGCACGGTGGATGTAAAAACTGCTTTCTCGCTACAACTGAAAATTATCAAAGTGCACACAAAATACTAAACCATTCATTCCCCTTCATAGAAGTTAAGAAAACGAAAATGTTCCTTGTACAATGAGTGTTGTCTAAATTCAAACTGGCTACACGGCGGATGTAGAAACTGCTTACTGGCTTCCATTCAACATTATCAAGCAGTAGACCAAATATCAAATCATCCCTTTTCATAGAAATCAGGAAAACTTTGATTAAAGTTTCCTACAGTAACCCAAGTTCTTTCGGACGGACGGACGGACGTAGTCGAGCGGTTTCTACACGCACGCATGTAAAAAGGAAAGTTGGGGTCTATAAAGAAAACTTGTTTAACCCTGTCATACATGTATGTACATGTTTATATTGTACATACAGCTGTCTACCGTTGAAGATCGATGTTGGATTCTAGATGTCAACATTTTTTTTCCTTTTTTTTCTATTTTTCTATTTTTTATATGATCAACGAGTATTTAAAAATGTGGTTGTGTGTTAATTTCTATTATCAAACACAGGATATTTTAAATCTAAATGCAGTTACTTAATTTGTTGATTTGGTGAATTATATCTGAATAAACGCCTCCTTTTGTTTTGTTTTTTTAATTGTCTAATATTAAATTATAATTAACAGATTCTTTGACATAATGTAATATGTGTTGTTATTTTCTAGAGATTGGAGAAGATGAAACTTCCTATTATTTTGCTTGTAAGTGCTTGTTTGTTCTGACATCAGTATACTTCGCTATTCCAACATTTGGAGGGGGGAGGGGTATGAAATAATTATACCATGAACCTCTTTAATATTTATGTCATCACATCAAATATTTCCGAAAAAGAAAAAAAAACGCCAACATAATTCCCACACTGTAGGCTTTTATACAGTTTCTGGACCCATCTTTACGAAAGAGGAAATGTTTTATATTATTGAAGTAAGGTACACAATATGTACATATTTTTCATGTGTAAATACAGTCATGTATTTATGAATATTTATGAATCCATTGCAAACACTTCTATTTGTTTTAATTTTCCGACAACAGCTGGTATTTTTAAACAATGTAGTGGTGTAAAATAAGAAAAATAAATACACGTAGATGTGGATATATGTCAATGTTACGACATAGAAAATCAAAAACACATCTAGATGTTAACATGTGTATTAAAGTTGAAGTATTAGTACAATAATATACACACTGAAATAGAAACTAGATTCTAAAGTCAGACAAAAAGAAAAATGTCCAGACAGCTTTCGAATTCGGAGACGGAATAATAGGAATTAGTGAAACTCAATTATGCGGTCAATGAGTGGCCCAGATGTGGGTTGGTCATTAAAACAAGTGGTTTTGAGCTTGCTTTCAGCAAATGAGAGCATTGTTCTCTACTGGGTTTTTTTTTGTTTTTGTTTTTTGTTTTTGGTTTGTCTGTTTCTCCTGTTCATCGGGAATAGAAAGGGAGGTTGTTAAAATTTGAAATAAAAGATAAAAAACAAATGTACATTCTGATGTGCTTGCTTGGGTTTTTTCTCGTATTTAATAATAAATAAGAAGAAAATAACATTGAACCTATTTTACATTTACATCTTTATGAAAAATTGTTAAATAGAAACGTGATGATAGGGCTCCTAACTCCGTCGGTAAGGATCCGGGCTCAATGCACGTGGGATCTGGGCTCTTAAGAAATTTTGGACCCTGTGTTATTAACCACCAATGATGTGAATATACCTCAATAAGAAACGATCCCGACACGGTGATCTGATCAAATAAGGAGAATCCAATAATATTTTGTTAAACCTGAAGAAGGCGGTTTTTTTTTGCGAAATGATCAGTTCACCTAAGAGAAAAGCACGTTTGGCGTGGTATAAAATTGTAAACAGAACCAAGCAAAGGAGAGTAAAACTTTGAACTATATTTTTTCCAGGGTTTATTGATGACCATGCAAACGTCAGCAAGTAACAGTGATAGAATGTTATGGGAAAAACTGTATGAATCAACATCATCTTCTACTTCAGGTAAAACTTAACTTTTTTCATTTTTAGATAACATAATGTCGTTTTCTTCGTCACGTGATCTACATTTTCCAGTTTTATTAAGTATAGAAAACCCATCCCGTCTCCAGACGAAAAAGATATAAACTGACGACTAGAATCATCTTAACGTTAAACACATCCTATCACCCCACATACCTCAAATCATCATATAGCAATGCTAAAGTTAGAAATGGTTTGCTCTGACGACACAGGATCTGCATTTCAATCACATTGCAACACATTACAACAGAAAAGATAAAAAAAGGAACATGACATAAAAAAAAAGGATAAATGCGCAGGTCATCTGGTACACGTTGACCTTTAACTTTCTGACCACTGTATGTTGAATTTTTATTAAATAATGTTTTGCTCTTTATGTCTATATACATGTATCTAAAGATTATACTGGGATGCTTTTAAACTAAATACCTTTTGGTTTGTTTTACAAGTTAGAGAGTAAAGACTGTCTGGTAGGAGCTGATGTTGTTTTCCTGTTAGATATCGACAAACCTTCAAGCTTCAAGGTCATAAAACCATTCATGATGAAAGTCATGGATAAATTCAGTAATGTGGGACCAACAGGGGTACAATTTGCTGTCCTTTCAGCTACCGAGGAGGATAATTTCTATTTTGACGAGTATTCTAATGTTGAAGGATATAAAGCTGCTGTGCGATCATTAAATCCTCAACGCAATGGTACTGTTTACCTTGCTGCCTTTATGCAGGTATATGATAAGAAGTTCTTTTTCTTTTCACCATGATAACACAATAAATTCACGTACAAAAAAAGGGAAAATATCAAAATCAACGAAGCATGAATTATGACACGTGACACACATCGTTTAATAACAGATGAAAATACAACAAAATTAATCGCAATCCTCCGTCATAAGGGAACGACCATTTAACTTCGAGGGGCGGGGGTTATAGTTTTGGTACCGCCAAGCGTAGCGAGATCTTTTTTCAACGAGTTTTAAGAAAAAAAATGATATTTTATTTTCGATCGTCCGCCGTTGCACATTGAGTGTACATGCACATGCACATGCATTATGCATATTAATGAAGGAACAATGATTCGTCTTGTTGACTTATCACTTAAAGGTCACGAATGGACTGAAAAATCAACAAACTTATTTTGAATTCAAAATAAAGCAAGTCAGGTAGTATGTAAATCTGATCGAAAGCATTTCTTATAAAGTTTGGGATTTTACAAGGAACTCTAGCATGGAGTAAGATTTTTTTAAACACACTTAAACCAGAATATTTGTTTTCCTTAGTTTATAAAACAGCTTTTCTGAGTTCTTAATTTTTGCCATTGCTACGACAGTTTATTATTTTTTGTTTCCTTTTTAATCAGAAATTGTTTTTATAGACAAAAACAATATCATCCTCCCTTTTGAGTTAAATGGTTGTTCTCTTACTAAGTACTTGTTTCATTGTCAGACCTAAACACATTAGATGACGACGTTTCTCTAAAGTTATACAACGATTGTAACTGTCTTCCCTACCATTCTTAGTTTCATTTGCAACTGACACTTACTGATACAAAATTTCAATCCTGGTATCTATGATGAGTTATTTATTTGAATAACTGAACATGCTAAGCACACGCGCAATCCAACTTTAATAATTGAGGTAACATCACGAGTCCCATTGATGTCTTGCAAGACAATAATATAGCAGCCACGTTTGTAGTCTTATGTTGACCAAATTGAAGCAAACAGCTTACTAATAGCGATTTACTATTCAATAGTTCGTTCTGATACATGTTTGACACATTTCAAAACATATTTAATTTGTTTCCAACTCCTACACTCAAAATTACATGAAGCTAATACCACTTTTATGTATACAAAAATAGGACATAAAAGATCACTATTTCTCCGGAGGACATGGCGGGGGACGACCTTGTGCTGAAAAGTTTATATTCATCCTCACTGATAGCAGATCTAGTACACAAACAGATACGACAAAGATAGTTTCAGATTTGCAAGTATCTGGAGTGACTATTTATGGAATAAGAATTGGTGACGTTAGTAAGACGATATTAGAAAAAAATGTCGAGCTTTGTCTTTGAAATACAGGATCCAGTAGCAGTCGAAACATTTGTCAAGTCAGTGTGTGGAAGTACTTTGTGCAGTAAGTAGTAAAATTTATAAAATAAAACACTTATCGACGTGGATTGGAATTTGTGGCTTTTTTAATCATTTCCTGTTTCAAAGTTTTGTTTTGTGAAATTCAATGCATAACTTTCAAAATCTAATTGTAACCATTACTGCTATATATATTTTCTATGCCTTAATCGAAAGATTCTTTTTGTTCATACAGTATTTATATGCACTATGCACATTGAAATGTATGACCATAAAAGTCACAGTTAAACAAACCTCTAAAATCGAGATGGTCCAACGGCGAGCTGCCAGATATGTCTGTAACAGGTACCATAACATCAGTAGTCTGACAGACATGATAAACTCATTAAACTGGCCTACACTACAAGAACATCAAATCGTAGCAATCCCATCTGCTATTCTCATACCATTAGACAGTAAAACCCGCAAAAAACATAATTAATTTTCACTTTCAGACACATTTCAACCAAAAAAAATACATATAAATTTTCATTTTTTCCATATACCATAACCCAGTGGAATTTTTTGCCAATCCATACAGTTGCTGTCACTACAGTTTACAATTTCAGAGAACAGCTCACACCAGCTGTTATCCATAAATTCATTTAACTTATTATTAGCCTATGTACATAGTTTTAATCACAATTTAAATCAAAGTACTGAAGTACTGAACATCGGATGACCGCAGGTTCTTGTGGATGGTCAAAAGCACATGTCACAGAAACAGATCACATCTCTATACCTGAAACTGAGGTTAATTTACAGAGATTTTTTTTTCTTATACAAGTTCGTGCTTGGATGATGAATAAATGACAGGAAATTCAACCTCACCGTAATAACTATTATATTGTAGTGATACAAATCAGTATACCTTGGACTATTATACTAATATAATAATAGTTCCAGAGAATACACTGGTTTGTTGTTATATATTATATTAATATTACGGTTGCATGTATATATAGTTTTCATCTATTTGTATATCATACTATTCTACTATTATTATAGTGTAATGCAAGTGCATGGTGGACACTCTTCTGTAAAAAAAAAATCAAAGTCTTAAAGGCTGTAAAAGCAATTGCTGCCATGTTAATGTTTTGTGGACTTTTATTTTTCATCCATATATATAAGAATTAAACCTGATAGGACAGGAGTGTTGACTAGTGAGAAGCAAGACGGTTTTAACTTTATATCAATATAAGACTTTAGCAGGAAATCATTTTAAATATGTTTTATATTTTACAAGGAGACAACAAGTTTACCAGGCTAAAGTTGGGGTTAATTATACATGTGCTGAAACATATAACTGAAAAAAAAATCATTATGGATTATCCCCTGGTAGTGTTTGTAACTGGGCAATAATTTCCTTTATTGATTTAATTTTAACCATTTTCATAATTAATTTAAATTAACCATTCAGTTAAAACATTTCAACTTTCCAGACGCAAATGTTGAAAAACGGGACAGAAATAAAATATCTTACAAGACATAAACATGTAAAAAATAAATATATATTTCAGCTTACTAAAAATATTTTCAACTAAGTCCCAAACATAATTGCTCAGTTGACATGTGTCATCCTCATGCGATACGAGATAACTATAATTCTGATGCAATCCCGAAAAGGGGGGTCATCACAAACAAACATGACATTAAATTGTCATTATACGAACTAGAACAAACAGCTCTATGTTGCTTTGATATTTATCAATTTTCAGGAAACATGTGAAATAAATTTCAGGTCCATTTCATTATAGTGCCTAACAAGATTGTGTGAGGTAGACGAAATTGACCTTAAAACGATCGTATTGTATTTTGATGTCCAAAAATAGGCAGATCGGACATATAAGGACTTTATCTAATGACTACATAAATTTGGGATTTATTATTATTATAATATTCTAATGAAACTGAAAATTGTATTTTTTTTTAGGATAAACAACAATTTTACCTGGCGTAGCCGTTCATAAATGTTTTTCTGCATCTATCTTCGAAAAATGGCGTATTTAATGGAATAGAACGTTAATACAGTAAACTTTCTCTTTTTTCTCCGCAATAGGCTATCAAAAATAATTTATCTAATGTGTATGTGGAAAATTATGTGAAAAGATAAAAAGTGGCAATTGTTACCTTTCATACCTTAAGTTTCGTTCATCTGATTCTGACCAATGCTTATATACTAAATATCTATTTATATGCCGCTATTATTGTTGTTGTTACCAATTATGTAAATCAATTGTATCTGATTTTATGCCCTTTATGGGCCCTGTAATTTGGGAAATAAAAAAAAATCTATTCATTGATAAAACGTAATATGGACTGGTCCAGTGTCCAGTTTGCAGGTCATTTAATTTTCTGTACACATTCATGCACGCTCTGATTTAATCAATATACTCGTACGAAAAAGCATGAACAGTTTGAAGGTAATCTAATAATAACTTAATCCAATCAAATTGCATAAGATTCAATAACAATGTCAAGTCCACATCATAATGAGTAATAGAGGTAAACTGGGTAGGGAGAAAATGACAGATATTTCAAGTTAATATTTATGCAATAACGAATTAAAATTTGTCAACCAAAAGTTTTGCTACAATTTCAAAAACATGTCGTTCTGTATGGGTATAGTTTTCGGATCTTTCACTTTTTTAGCGTATTTAAGGCTATAAAAAGTTTGGGCTTCAAAAGTTCACACAATTATTGACTTTATACAAAAAATTCGTCCTTGTAAAACATTTAATAGTTCACAAATGATACGCGATTCTAAAGTAAAATTATTTCTTAAAACACTGCAAAAAATTTCATTCATATTGATAAAGTGGTATCGTCATAAAGTGCGTTGAAATGAACAGTGGTATAGCAAACATCGAATTCCCTCACAAAATGTATCTTTGCCGCAAGTTTATTGTTTTCTGTTTTGTATTTAATTTATAAATTAAGATCCATTTTTACATCTGGTGATCCGTTTATTTGGCAATCGCCATGGCAGTCAGCAGGGTTTAAGAACATCCGTTGTTCGACCTGCTAGTCAAATGCGTTTTGTTAAAATATACTTTTTCACTTTTTGGTCTTTTGGAAAATGTTGTTTGTGCTGTATTTAGACCACTCTACCAAGAAATTTGTTTTGCATGCACACGTATGACGGAATATGACTATCTAATATTTTTAGAGCATCCACGAAAAGAACCAAGAGGTAAGTTTATGTTAAATTTGATCATCTATATTCATATCAATGCTGGTTCTATTCCCTTTAACATACTGGTACCTAAGTAACACTAGTAGTACGAGCCATACAGATAAAGGACAGGAAATCAGTCTTTGTTCACATATTTTTCTTCCCCATCGTCATCATAATGTGTTTTTCATGGTTTGGATGTGGTGTAGTACCATAAGAAATAACTATCTTTGTAATTGGAGGTAGAAAAATACGCGTTTGCATGAAGTTTCCTGACAATAAAGGCAAACCTTTTTTTTTTGTGCCCATGGTGGTTAACATTAAATCTATTGAATATTTTCATATTACCGACTTTTGACTCTTGAAATTATGTTTTATGACAGGTTACCTACTTATGTGATAGGACATCCTGATACTCGGTCAAGTGAGAGCAACTTTAAGAAGTAAAATCAAGCTTACAGTCGGTACAATTTGGGTGGAGGGGGAGGAATTAACTGTTTTATGTTTTCTATGCACGACAAAATCATCGGAAACAGTAAACTCCCCCTACATTGCACCGATTATATGTTTGATTTACTTTTCTTTGCTCTTATTTGACCGAGTATCAGGATGTCCTACCACTGTCTGAGTAGGTACATGTAACCTGTCGAAAAATTATATAATCCGGAGTCAAAAGTCGGTATTAGGAAATAGTCAATTACATTTGAACACTGCTTAAAGCTCCCTTCCAAAAGCTTCCATTTTTTGACAATGTACATGCACTTTCTTAAGATAAACAGCGGACTACAGACAGAAGCTTCCATCTACAGATTAAATGTATCTAGTACGAGTAATAAACATACAGGAGTTCATCATTGATATATACCAGGCTTAAAATTTGTATACGTTTCGGCTACAAAAGACTCACCGGTGACGCTCGAATCAAAACATTCCAAAAAGGCCAAATAAAGTACGAAGTTGAGGAGCATTGAGGACACTAACATTTCGGAAGGTTTTGCCAAATACAACTAAGTAATCTAATCCTGGGTTAGAACACCCTTTAGAGTTATAATTTATAATTATGACCATGTCAATGATTAACGTACCACTACTGTATCTATTGACCAGTCTACGAACCGGTTAAAGATTGTTTTAAGGGTTGAATGTGCAAATCGATAGCGTGATACTCTCCCTGAACGTGCCATCGGATTAAAAGATATAATTCCGACTGGTCGTTGATATGACCTTATACATCTACAAAAAGACATTCTCTTTAGCTATGGTTTAACTGCCGGCCGGAATATTTCATGGGATTACCATATGTGCATACCAATTTGGTTTTTCAATTTATTATCCTAGTTTGGGGGATTATAGGACTGAGGACATTCTTAAATTTTTTGGAGTCGATGATTAAATTTCAGGTTATTCAATCGTATACGAATCACTTTTAACTTTTATAATATTATAAACGTGTTTCGTGGATCACACACTTTGTCGTTTTAACTAGAGTTCTTCTTTTGTGTCTTCTTCTGTTTACTAATTACATACGGGACTTTTGTAGAACAAATAAAACAACACTATAATGGTATGTATGCATGCATTTTAGTAATCTGTAAACATCAATTAAAAAAGTGGTATTATTTTTTTTTTATTTTCCAAAGCACGTTGATTTTAAAATTTGAAGAACTAATGATGCTTTTTTAAAAACAAATGTTACGGTTAGAATAATACAATTTCCCTGAGAGTAAAATTAAACACTCTACACAACAGAAATAAGGAGATGTGGTATGACTGCCAAGTTGGCAACTATCCATCAAAATCCTTTTTTGAGATGACGTGGATGCAAATAACTATAGGTTACCGTGCGGCCATCTATTTAAAACAAGTTTCATTATTGGTTTTTTGTAGTAAAGATATTGCGATTCATGATTGTTAGTGACAATAGACACAGTCGATTAGAATATCATAGAATTATAAAGGGCACCATACACGAGGGGTCGACAGCTTTTGAGGGAGGTGGAAGGTGGGGGCGGGAAATGGGAGACAAAAAATAGGTGGGAGAGAAAAAAAGATTCTAAAAGTGGGAGGTGGGAGATAGGGGGCGGGAGGTGGGAGGTGGGAGGTGGGAGACAAAAAATAGGTGGGAGAGAAAAAAAGATTCTAAAAGTGGGAGATGGGAGATAGGGGGCGGGAGGTGGGAGAAAGGTACCCCCTGTCCACCCCATCATACACAAATTGCTAGGGCACATACAAATTTCTAGGGCACATACAAATTACTAGGGCTCACTAGTCGAACAAAAAGAACATAATATAAATCTGAGGACATATCTGTTGAAATATCATGAAATTTAACTATAGTAAATGACTATTAATGAAAGTAAGTAAATCTTATACAAATACCTGAAACAACTGACATAACATATAATAATGTTACAATAACTCTTTTTATGTGATATTCTTATTTTGCACATTAAACACTAAACATTAAACACTAGTCCTTTTTAAAACTATTTCTAACACAACCAAAACTAGACATTTTTATAAGCTATTTCTAACACAACCAAAACTGGAAATTGTACATTAAGCTATTTCTAACACAACCAAATCTCGAAATTGTATAAGCTATTTCTAACATAACCAATACTCGAAATTGTATAAGCTATTTTTAACACAATCAAAACTCGAAATTGTATAAGCTATTTCTAACACAACCAATACTTTTTTTTATTATCTGTATAGACAAACGAAAAGAAGTTAATGGTATGTATTTTACATAGGTCTTTTTCCGCAAATTATTTAACAATTGAGATGTCTGTACTGCCAGCTGTCATAGTGTAGCAACCTGAAGAGGAAGCCAAAAGCTAATTTTTTAGCAAAAATAAAATAAGCACACTTATAGGAGACATTTTGACACATAGTTACACCATTATACATATTTCATCTTTTTGGTAATTTAAAAATACAGAAAACTTCGCTACCGTCTCGGACTTTTGATCAGCAATTGACAGAGATCTCTATTTACACATGTAAAAGTTAGATGCTTGAGTGCCTAGAAGGGATTTACAGAATGGGAAGTGGTGGTCGAAATAAATTAACAATAGAGAAAAACAGCCTAAAAATTAAGAAATACAGAAATGAAGTCTCCCAGTGCAGAACCTCTAAGGTGGAATTATAATTATGTATGAATGAAAGTGTTCAATTAAGATAGATCTTTAATATCCTATTTTTTTATTTTGTACTTAAAATTATACCATTTATAAAAAAAAAACCAGGTTTCTGACATAACTAACATGTTTTTATATTTTTCGAGAAATACAAGTAGAAGTTAAAGGTATGTACATTGCGTAGGTCTACTTTTGCAAATTATTCACCAATCAAAATTTCTGTACCTTCAGCTGTCATAGTCTAGCATCGCGATTAAATTCTGAACTGTCCTGAAGAGAAAGCCAAAAGCTTACTATTTAGCAGAAATATAAGAAGCACACATTCAAAAACGTTCTTACACACAATTACTAATTATACATATTTCATATACGCTAAAATACGTATAAATCAAACTTCACTTACGGCTATAAGGACTTTTAATCAAAAGCAAGGAGATATTCATTTAGGCCCGATCATTCATTAATCGTACGTGTTTGTTCGTCTGTGCGTGGGAGGTTTAGGGACAATCATTTTTCCTATTAAAGTCAAACACAAAGTTAACTTTATTGTTCAATAACAAACAGGAACAAGATTTTTTTTTAAACTAAATGTTGAATAAATTTTGTGTCACTAAATATCTATGAAAACAAACCACTTTTCCATTTTTGGACTTCCCTTTTGTCTCTTTTGAAAATTTTTTTTGTTTAAAGATATTTAGAATAAAATGATATATTTAAGTGTGTTTGTGCAGACGACAGTTTGAATTTCTAATGACAACTTAACTGTCTACATTCGGACCGCCAAGTTTCCAATTTTCTATAAAATTACAGATTGTTATTTTTTAATTACGATATAGTATATATTTAAAAGTGTTACTTTTTGAACATACAAAACCTTTTATTTGAATTTCATATCGAACATCTGTTCTATATTTAAACTTGTTTATGTCAAAACAGATAATTATTTTTCAGGGCGTACACCGGAGGAAGAAGGTATGTTATCTGCGAATCATGTCTGTGGATAAACAAATATTTGCTAATGAATTTTATTGTTCTTTTCTCTATACAAAGTTCTTACAGCTAAATATGATGAATTAAATGCGTCATGCAAATTAAATTACGAACAATTCTGCTATGCATGTACAGGAGAGGAAAACAAAGAACTCAATGTTACTCAAAGTCATAAAATAAAATCATCTTTTTTTTTTTGGGGGGGGGGGGGAATATCTTTAGAAAAAAAGTCATGAAGTCTATTTTGTTCAATCAAAGGGGGAAAGTCGTCGTGCATAACAAAGGTTAACAGCAACTCAATAGGGTAGACGGTGAAACAAGATGAATAATTTTTGATTCCATTAAATCATGATTCATCTGATAGAAAAATACTATTCAAAAAAGTGTGTATATCTCGTCTAAATCCATCAGAAAAAAATATATGTTAGACAAGGATGTTTCTCAATGATTAAGAAATCAGACAAAAAAAAAATGGCAAAGATATTCATTACTGAAATATTGTGATAATCATTATGGTAACTTTTTAAGACATGTTAAGGATAGTGTGGCGATGCCCGTAACTGTGTTTAATTACGTTTAGATTTATCAAAGTGCCAAATATTTCATGCATATTCATGATAAGAACATGTTAACAATATATCAAATGATCGATTGACATGTCGACAGGCACATTACCACGGAAACACAAGGGAAACGTGGGTAAGATTGAAGAACTGTCTAACAATAGGGCATATGGGGAATATTCTGAAGAGTACGGATACGAATACGAAAACTTTATTAAACCCATCATCGGCAAATAAAGGGCATGTTAAATATAATAATTTTAGATATACATTAGTAGAGAAGTAATAATGATAATGATAATATATGAAGTTAACTATAGAA